ATTTTGAGTTCGAAAACCTTGAAAAATTTGAAATACAAGAAGATTTTTAAGGATCAAGAAGGTATATATAATTGAGTTTTTACTTGGATTCAGTGGAGGACCTGGGCGCGGGCCTACCAGGGAAAGTGCCCCGGCTTCCGGCCAGGAATTTCACTACTAGTACTTAGGGTAAAATAGGTGTCCCTACTTCCGGCCAAAAATTTCACTACTACTACTTCGGGTAAAATTAGTGCTCCAACCCGTACAAAAAGTTACTAGTATTAGATAATCAAGATATTAAAATGTTACAGTTATATACTAAATTGTTATTTGCTGATTTGGGGTTTGTTTGTTTACTTGAAATTTGATACTTTGGAGATAGTGAATGCGCTCTACTCAAGGATTAGGGTTCTAATTTGTAAGGTTTTTAGTTTAATTTTTAGACTTGATTGTATTCGTCTTTTGTATTAGAAACATGAGTTTGGATAACTTTGTAATTCGGACTAAGAGGTCATTAACCCGAGGGGGTAGTTCTTCGAACGTTCCTAATCAGTCTATCTCAAGCGATGCAAATGTTGTTGCTCCGAATGTAAGCATTGTCCGAGATGAGTCTCATGACACCGGGGGAGACAAAAGAGCCCGCACAGATAGTACGTGTGAGTGGGATATCATTAGTAATCCCACATTACGAAAGCCAATCATTGAATATGAGCCTCAAGTAAGAGATGACGTGATGAGAGCTTATGTCGGTAAAGGTGCTTGTCAACCGTTGTCTCATGATTTTCCACGAACTTTATTTGGGAAAAAAATGAGATGTTTTCGAGCATAGTGGTTTAACAATTGGGAATGGTTGGAATATAGTATTTCTGAAGATGCTGCATTTTGCTTTTCGTGTTACCTTTTCTATGGGGTAGAAGGGAAGAGATTTGGAGATGATGTATTTGTGAGGACCGGTTTTCGTAATTGGAAGAAAAGTCTTGAAACATTTAGAGACCATGTAAAAGTTGTAAATGGTGCACACAATGATGCCAGGACACGTTTTTTTAATTTCAAAAATCAAAAGCAAAGCATTTCAAGAAGTCTGGAGAGCCGTTTTAGTGAGTTAAATACATAATTACTCACTTGTTTAGCATGTCTTGATCCTAGAGATAAGTTCTCCAATTTCTGTGAGTCAAAGCTACAAACCTCGCAAAATTATATTCATGCGATTTTTCATCTGTAGATCGAATGGAGCTGACAGAGCAACTCCAGGTGTGGATATATGAAATGAGAACAAATGAATTATTTTCTGTCGTACAAACTATTGGTGAAGTTTGCAAAAAGATGGTTGAGCTTAAAGTTCACAATTCTTTTCGTTTGGTATACCGGTTGATTGAGTTGGATTTAGTATTACCAGTTGTAACAGCCACCGTTGAAACAGCCTTCTCTACGATGAATATTATCAAGACAGATCTTCGTAATAAGATGAAAAATGATTATCTTACAGATTGCTTAGTGTGCTACATCGAGAGAGATGTTTTTAGGAGTATTGATAATGAAACTAATATACAACATTTTCATAATATCAAAACTCATATGTTTGATTTACCAAAGTTGCAGAAATGAACTATTTAATATGTAATTAACTACTCCGTATAATTTATGCTATTGTCTTACTTTTTATCATCTTTATTACATTTGAAATTTTTATTATAGAGTAAGTTTAGTGTCTAGTGTGCCCTTGCTCTGACAAATTTCTGGGTCCGCCATATGTGTACCATCTTTATTATAAAGTTACTATATGTGTACTTTTATGGTTACCATGACAGTAGGATTTGTGCATAATTGCATTCTATTCATATGTTACCTATTCTAAATCTAAAAACTTATAAATGCCAATGAAGGTTAGGGCATTTTAGGGATAAAAAAAATGTTGATGTAATAGTATTGCTTAATGGGGTTGTACATTATGTTCATATATTTGTACTTTTTGGAATTGATCTGCTTTCTCCGTCATGTCTCTATCTTTATACGGAGCACTTCGTAACTGTTTCCGTTTCCATCCATTCGCCCCTTCCATCATATATGGCCCTTCACATACCCTAGAAGGGATGCATGTATTATGTATATACCTCACCCATATATTACATCATTTCGTATGGGTAATAACAAAGAAGGTACTAAACTATTTGCAATCCACTGCCGTGCAACTCCATGTCTATTTTAGCACGATTTGATTAAAATGGAAATCTTTCATCATGTGTTATTTTCCCCTTTGGTATTTTACTACTCCGTATTAGTTTTATAATAAAATTATATGTACTAGGGGTCTGTTTGCAACAGCTTCTGGTTTTAAAAAAATGCTTTTCTTAATAAAATGGGGAGAAGTGATTAAATAAAAGTTGATAGTGTTAGCCTGTTAGGGAAAAAATTGATTTTGAAAAGTAAAAGTGGGTAGTGTTTGGTAAAATAAGTGCTTTTTGTGTAATAGAAAAAGTAAAAGCACTTTTGACGCGGAAGCCGAGAAAAATAAAAGTTGTAGTGTTTGGGAAAATAAGTGCTTTTTTAAAGCCAAAAGCTGAGAAATGTTTTTTAAAAGGAGTTGCAAACCAACCCTAAGGGTTGATTGTGGCTTAAGGCAATTTGTAGTTTTTACACCACTTCCTATTAGAACTTAACTATTTTTAGTTCATCTAAAGGTTAACTATTTAGATCTCGGATTGCATCATAGTAGGTTAATCTGATAGAATGAGTAACCCAAAGTCAAACTACAATCAGATATGGTTGACATTTTATTGTTAGTTTCCGGTGTGTAATAAATACTTTAACACAAATAGATATACTTGTATACATTACACATATTTCACAACAAAGAATACATTGTGCACTTTTCTTATCGCGCAACGCGCGTGTAAGAACTAGTATTTATATACATAGTAATGAACTAATGATAGTAGTACATGACTTCAGGGTTGGTTTGCAACTGCTTCTAAAAAAAGACTTCTCAGCTTTTAGCTCTAAAAAAGCATTTATTTTCCCAAACACTACAACTTTTATTTTTCTTGGCTTCCGCGTCAAAAGTGCTTTTACTTTTTCTATTACACAAAAAACACTTATTTTGCCAAACACTACTCACTTTTACTTTTCAAAATCACTTTTTTTCTCAAACACTATCAACTTTTATTTAATCACTTCTCATCATTTCATTAAAAAAAGGTTTTTTTTAAAAGCAAAAGCTATTGCAAACAGACTCTAAATCTAGTTATTTAGGGAAGTCCTATCAAATTTGAATACTTAAATCTAGTTATTTAGATGGAGTCTCTAACTCTTTTTGTAGTAAAATATTGATTTTGAGATCATGAAAGGATTGTAATTCTCACTTAAATTGATACTCATATACATACGGAGCATGTTATTTCCCTAACTAAATATGGACGAAAAATAACTAAGGATGTTTTCTTTTGGACTTATTTCAGTCCCAGACCAGACCAGATCAGATCAAACCCGACTAGACCAGACTTCCGTAGTTATAAAATACACAGAGACCAGACGTTTACCTGACCAGACCAGTTCTGGCCAGACCAGATTAGACCAGACGTTTACCAGACCAGACCAGATTAGGTCAGACCAGAATTTCGTAGTTATAAAATACACAGAGAATAGAAGTTTACCAGACCAGACCAAACCAATTCAGACCAGACCAGACCAGACCAGACTAACAAATTCCAGTCCAAAAGAAAACATCCTAATTACCAAACCAAGTAATTCGTATTTTACTCCCTCCGTCCCATTGGACTTTTCCAACTTTCTCTTTTTGGTTGTCTAAAAAAACTTTGCCACTTTCGTAGTTATAAAATACACAGAGAATAGAAGTTTACCAGATCAGACCAAACCAATTCAGACCAGACCAGACCAGCAAATTCCAGTCCAAAAGAAAACATCCTAATTACCAAACCAAGTAATTCGTATTTTACTCCCTCCGTCCCATTGGACTTTTCCAACTTTCTCTTTTTTCAACTATTTTGCATTTAGCAAAGTCCACCGGGACGAAGGAAATATTAATTAAATTCATAACCGGATGATCCATCACTTGATTCTTTCGTACATTGTTAATGTATAGCATACTACGTGGTACATGTATTTTTTGTTTGCATTTATACAGTCTTATAAACGAAAAAACTGATAGGACAACCCAATATTTTATTAACTTCACACCTTAAAATCTCAAATACTCAAAATGTGACAATCACATGACTTATTTTATCAGGGGCATCAAAATTCTATTGGCCAAAAATAAAGAACTTGTTTTAGGTCAACGAGGTCAAACCCAAACCTACAAGGCCTTCAAACCCTCCTCAAAGAATCTGGTAAAAGCGTCCATTTGTGCAAGGGGCAATCAGGGAAGGATTTAGCCATTTAGGGGGGCGACCGCCCCCTTGGACATTCATTTTTTTTTACCATATATGTAATATTTTCATAAAACTTTCATAATTTAATTAGATTCGCCCCCCTTAGCTTTTAATTTTCAAAATTAATATATATAGTCTTACATAATGTAATACTTAATTGGAGATTTAAAAGAAGAAACATCTAAAATAATTTACATAACTTAAACAAATAAACAATAGAGTAACTCGTTATTTAAGATTTAGGATACTTATTATATAAGAATTCCTAGTTTTGTAATGTTTAATTATCTTTATTAGATAACAAGTACTGGATTTCGTAAAACATATATCAAACAATATTAAATACCAGACACACTAATTACACAATTTTTAGATCACGTGAAATGAATCCAAAATATAAATATTTATAGACATTAGATTACATAATTCATTTACTTCTTGCTTTCTAAAAATAATTTATTGCATGGATAATAAACTCTAAATTATTATAGAATTAATAAAAATATTAAAATATAATATGCACCATATATATATGTGTGTGTGTATGTGGTGCATATTATTCTAAAAATAACAATCTCATACATATTAGTATACTACTATTGTAATATTAAGAAAACTTCTCATGAGTCATGACTCACGAACACCCTCTTTGGTGGACAAAAATTACAATTCAATAACCGATTCATGAGGTTAAACAATGTAGAAGTTATTAAAAATGTATTGGTTGATGTCTTTGTCATCGCCTAAACTTAGAATGTAATAGATTTAAATGTCGTTCAGGATGTGCATGAATTAATATCATTTTTTGAATAAAAATAGCTGCATAGCCCTACAGAAGCGAAAAAATTTCGCTCCGCTATACTAGGGAAAAAAAATTCACCTCGCTACACTAACGAAAAATTTTGTCCCCCTTGACTCAGAATTCTGGATCCGTCCCTGGGGCAATGCCAGACCAATCTCAATTGCACCTTCCTCGTCCTTGCTTCCACTGAGAGAAATGGTCCCTGTTATATCTATCGATGGAATCTCAAGCTTTCTAGGCTTCCCCCATCCAAAATCTAACCCATAATAGTCAAACTTGGGGGACCCAGCTAGACTCAACGTCCGGTCCATATTAATCGTGGAGAGCAGCGTAAACCAATCTTCAGCTCCTTTCAGGACTCCATCTTTGTGCTTATTGTACAGCTGGCCACGTATGCTTTCTCCGACCGCCGCCGCCGCCGCCAACCCATCCTCACCCACATGCTCCTTAACCTTCGCATATCCATAACAAACCGTGATGCAATTCCCGAAGTAGTTCTCCGGCAACGGCGGATCCAAACGCGCCCTACAATCCGCCGTACAACCAAACAGCTCATCTTCATCGTCATTAGCGTACACGCCCGCCACGTGGCGAGACCGTATCACGCAATTCCAAACGTACGAACACGTCACCGTGAAGGATGTCACATGTGAAAGTCCCCGACGTCGTGCCATGACGTGGCTCTTGAGTCTTTGGAGGTCGCCACGTGTCAGAGAAAACGTGGAACGAACCTTGTTTTTGAACGTTGGAAGCTGGTCAACATGGGTATCCTCGATCTTAAGATTCTTCAGATTTTCCCAGAAAATGGTTTCTAGTTTTCCTTTCCCTTCTTTGAGCTCTGTTCTATCGAAAAACGGTAGAGAATCAGGTTTGACTTTTTGGTCTCTGTCGCCGGAAAAGAAAGCCCACGTCTTCATGAAACCGAAGATGGTTTTTCCGTCACCGACGACGTGATGATTGGTCACGCCGATGCAAACCCCGACGTTTGGGAATAGTGTTACTTGTAACGCTAACAGAGGAACCAGTGCAGATCCGTCAGATGCTTTTGACGGCAGGGGTAATCTCGGAACAAGCGGGTGAAAATCGGCGCAGCTTTTAGCTCCGTTATACCATTCCCATTCGATGGTTTCCTTCCATTATCCTTCTCACCTGTTTGAAAATATATATAAATGAAGTTCAGTAAGAGATCTGTATGAAAGAGTTATGATGATTACACCCAAGCCCAACACAATAAGAAAAGCATGAGTAGATTCAAATCACTCTTAAAACAAGTGGAAAAGCAGAATGAAAAGATCCATGTTTAATTAATACCAAAACTCTTTAACACTACCTATTTTTTTTTAAATCATAAGTCTTATTAACACATAGTTATGATTAGAAAATCAATAAAAGTGACACACTATGAGTATGTAAAGCAAAGTACCTATTTTTACGTTTTTGCAAAAGCACAGTTAAGGGTAATTGTCTGCCTGAAACAAAATTTAGAATAAGAAAGAGCACATTAAACACTTTGAACTAAAATATCCTTCTTGCTTTCTAACTTAATAAAATTGAAACTGGATTTGCTCTACCAAGCTAAAGTGCAGCGGTTTTGACCTCTGATGATCAAAATAGTGGGTATTACACTATTAATTAACAAAAGTGAAAAACTTTCTATGTTAAACCTTGCTAGATGATTCACATGAGAAAATCTATTACTTATGCCAGAGGCCTGATATCATAGTCTGCTTCAGGGGCACAAATTGTGCAGCTTTGCAACTCAACTCATTCAAGAGAAATATCATTTGCTAACACATGAAGAAGACACTTTATGGACCCTAGCTATTATCAACAAGGATTCTGACCTGGTACAATGAACAAAAAAAATTAACTAACATCTTCAATCTTAAAAATATAAACCAGCTCACTAAGTTTACACATGATTTCTTTTTAAAAAAAGGCGTTAACTTGGAATGATTCCGTTGACGGAATAGCTCTCAAGTAGATGGAAAAAGAATGAAGTTAACAGATGTTGGCTTTTATTATGTAAGTAGAGATATAAGTTATCTGAGTAGCTATTCCTTATATGTTGAAACTAACCTTTATCTTCTAGCAGTTCTTTTACTTTCTGGGAAAACCTACGAAAAAAAAAGTTAAATGTGATGGCAGTAATACGACTACAGATTTATTGCACTCAATCAATTTTAAATATATCCTTGCCAAAATCCTTGCCTATTTCGGAAAATCCCTGTCAAAAATCCCCGCAAATCCCGTATTTTTTCGTAGTGCGGCAGAAAATAGTGTGGCGGATGATGTCATCCATCATAAGCTAGCTAGCCTCCTAGCTTTCAAGCCCTCATAGAATATCTTGGTAAAATAGTGCATTTGTGTAACGGGCAATGTCACGCCCACTTGTAATCCACCTTCATGGTCCTTGGCTGCACTAAGAGAAATAGCCTCGTTCAAATCAATAGAAGGAAAGTCATACTTCATAGCCCTCCCCCATCCAAAATCGAGCCGTAATAGTCAAACTTGGGCGAGCCAGCAATGGTCAAGGTTCGACCGAAGTTAAGCTTGGAGATAACAGCAATCTTGTCACCAACACCTTTCAACACTTCATCCTTTTTCTTATTGTATAATTGGCTACGAATGCTCTCTCCTATCACCTCAGTCGCCTTTATCATCCCTTCATCTCCTATTAAGCTTTTTTCTCTTATGCTAGCTATACATGGTACAATACAATTGCCAAAGTAGTTTTTAGGCAAGGGAGGGTCCAAACGTTCCCGACAATCAACCGCGCACAGAAAATTCTCCATTTCTTCTAACTCCCCACCATTTTCGTCCTCCTTGTATGTCAGGCGTCTTGATCTCACCAGACAACTCCATGTGTTTGAGCAAGTCACGGTAAATGTTGATACATGCAACGAATCACGGCCTCGCGTGAGGGCGTGATTCTTAAGTCGTTGAATGTCGTCTCGTGTCACGATTAAAGTGGACCGGACCTTGTTAATGATACACGGAAGGCAATGAGCATCATGTGTTTCATCAAAGTAGATGTTCTTCACACGGTCCCAATAAATCGTTGTCAGTTCCTTAATTACGATCTTTGAAGAATGTTCTATCATAATCTGGTACAAATTGAGGTGATGTTTCTTTGTCGTCTTTGTGATGGTTAGAAAAGAAAGCCCAAGCCTTCATGAACCCGAAGATGCTACTCGCATCACCCATTCCGTGGTGGTTGGTCACACCAATGCATATCCCAACATCGGGAAATAGTGTTATTTGTAACGCCAATACTGGGATTGCTAGTGAGCCATCCAATGCTCTGGAAGTCGGGTTTAGTCTTGGAATTAGTGGATTAAAATCTATTGAACTCCTTGCATCGTTTGACACAAATTAAAGTGGTTAAAACCGTTGGGGTTCGTTGAGTCGAACTCTGCGATCACCAACAAAACAGTGTCACCTTCTACGCAACAAATTTCAAGCACGTGTGTCTTGTTGGGTGAGACAACCAATCTACCGGCTAAGGGACTATAATGTTGAAGGGTTTGGGATAAGGATTTTTTCATACTAGGAATTAGGGAGTGCATAAAGTCCATTCTTCCCATGGGGTGGTGATACGGGCAAATTATACCGTGGGATCATCCCACAGTGAGCATGGTGCTCCCGATTCCAAACGGTGCCGTTTGATTATTAAAAATGACCGACTTTCTTCAGATTTGCAGATTCGTGCCCTATCAGATTCGGATTTAGCTAAACCACACAATTAGATCGCTTCTCCTCTTCCCTTCATTGCTGGAATCGCTACCAGAAAGGAGTTCAACTCACTACACCAAACTGAGTCACCTCCCATGACGAAGTTGATTCTTGAAGATGGGAGCTACAACAGTTTCCCTTCCCCATCAAAGCCTCCAATCTCCTTCAGGACCCCACGGTTCTCATCTGCAACTCCGACGACGTTTCCGCCATCAGCACCGACGAGGAGCTCCAGCCCGGTCACCTCTATTTTGCTCTCTTGCTGGCCCGTTTCAAGTGCTCCGTAGTGCTCTGTTTTTTTTTAAGAATGCTCTTTGATTCTCTTTTTTTGGGCAGCCCTGCTAGTTTCTTGAAAAGTAGATTTGGGTTAAAAAGTTACATTTTTGTTAAAAATATTTACATTTCTAATGGTATGAAGTTACATATTCATTTGTGTGAGTTACATATACATATTTTTATGCTTAAGTTACATTATTTTATAAGCGAGTTACATCTTCTAAAGCGCAAGTTACATTTGTCATCAACGCGAGTTACACTTGTAATAACATGAGTTACATAAATAAATCATGTATTGAGTTACATGAAACAAAAAAATTGATTTTTTAAAATCCTTGTGATGTTCATGATATTAAAAACAAAACATATTCACAATTTATGTAAAGTAATTGTGTAGTTACTCTTTTTTTTCATTGTTTACATTGAAATCAATGTTTCATCTCTTAGGCATCGTATTGGATAAGTTACATTTCAACTGACCTACAGTTACATTTCTTATCAACGTGAGTTACACTTCTTTACACGCGAGTTACATCACGATATTACTGGGACAAAAAATAAAAAATTAAAACCTACTTTTCACGCGTGTTACTGTTCACGCGTGAAATTTTTAAATTAAAAGTTGTGCAAAACTACGTCGTTTTAAGAGCAGGAGTAGGGGTGGGCAAACGGTTCCGGAACCGCGGGTCGGGGCGGGTAATAGCGGGTCGGGGCGGGTAATTTGCGGTTCTAATTTTAGGAAACTGAAAACGGGGCGGGGCGGGTAATAATTAATTTAGGGTCGGGCCGGTTCCCAGATTTCAAAATAACGGGTACCCGGCCCGGCCCGTTAAAATATAATTCTATTTTTATTTTTCCCAAGCCCACTAAGTGAGTGAATCAGTACGCCGCCCCTTTATCTTCCAAAACAAAATCGTAGAAGCCCAGTAAGTGTGTTCCTCAATATCTAAAGCCCTAGCAGTACGTGAGTAACCTATGAGGGTTCTGAAGGTTGAACTCAGAGAGCTTGGCAGAGACATTCCTCACTCCTCAGTCCTCATTGACGGAAATCTCGTTGGCCCTCATACGCGCGCGGTCTCTGGACTTAATCTGTGACGCAGTCGCCGGACTTACGCTATCACGCAGCCAGAGACACTCACTCCTCAGTCCTCACTCCTTAAAGGTATGTGTTTTGCTTTCATTATTGCACCAAATCTTTTTTGTGAAGGCTCATTTTATCATCTTGTTAGAATCACTTATCTTATGAATATTGCAGCAGGCATTTGTTTGATTGTTTTATGGGGTTCTGGGTATTATTTTTGCCAAGAAATTTTTGTTTCAAAAGTACTAAACATGCTATACAAGATTACAAATTACAAATAATAGTGCTAGTCATTCAATTTGTAATATCTCCCTCTAGGCTCCGATTGCAGTAGATAACTAGAGATCTAGATATCATTTTGATTGAACTAAAGTGTAAAATAAATAATAACACTAATAGTTAATGGCCTCTTGCTTTAGCCTTCATCAATAAATCTTACTCTGTAAAATAAATGATAACACTAGATAAATTAAATTACTGCTTATCTTGTTATAGGTAGGTTACTAGGTTCTATTTTTTAAACTGTAAAATACGACTTTCTCATTTGTAAGGAAATGTATTACTTAGGTGAGAGTGAATCAATATATATGTTGAGAGTAATTACATGTTACAGTGTGGCTAGCAATCAGCAGATTAAGCATGAGAAGTCAATTATCAGAGAGATCTTGGATTTGGGATCATTTCACTAAATGCACCGTATTAGAAGTGCATCAAAAAGAGAAAGATGGAAAGAAAGTGATAGTGGAAAAACAAGTGTTGAAGGCTAAATGTATACATTGCAAGTCCATTTTTGCATGTGATACAAGTGGTGGGGGAACTAGTACTTTCATAAAACATATCAATAACCATTGCAAGTTGAATTATTCGCCAAAGTAATTTCTGGATTTTCATCCTTTCTACAATATGTTTGTGAAGGTGAAGTTGCTGCTTATGGTGTGTATTTGTATTTTTGTGCCTTTTTGGATTTCTTATAATTGAGATTTAGTTTCATAGTGTTTTTGGACATATTATACATTGATTACATTCCTGTTGAATATCATCCTACATTAACTGTGTTAATAAACGTAGAGTTATCTGCTGATTTTTGCTTTTTAGATATCAAAATATTCAAATTCACTATAGCTTGTTTTCATGCTTAAATTCACATAACTTTCTTCAGATGAAAAATAGGTCATCAAAGAGTCATGTAGCTCCTAAACATTGATTGACTAGTTTAACTAGTTTCATAAATAAGAGTAATGGGCAGTGAAGTACAACAAGACTAGTAGAACTATGATAAATTAATAGCTATATCTTTACAAATAT